TTATTTGGGGCCCCGGAGAATTGAAATAATTGAAATAATTGAAATCGGCCCCATTTCAATTATTTCAATTATTTCAATTATTGAAACGGGGGGTTTGGCTGGAGCCAACTGAAGATAGAAGGGATTTCAATTATTTCAATTATCTGGGCCCCCCCCGAATTGAAATAATTGAAATCCTGGGTTTCCGATTTCAATTATTTCAAATATTTACATTCTCATTAAGTGTATAAGGAGGCAACAGGGCGTCAAATAGACCCTAGAGGCGCCTCTCTCATATATGTATACATATATATAGATATACACATACACATACATACAGGGATGTGTAAAAGCATCTCGTCATGTCTTTACATGACTATATAAAGACACATCCACACCCACCCACACCTGCACATATTCCTTGGCTGATTTGTCATTTAGTTCGCGCAGCTACATGTTTGCGCTGTTATTAGTAGTCGGAGTCGTCGTCCTTATGGTTCGGGCATTCGTCCGCACCGTCGCAACAGCATTGATAGCCACCACCTCTTGGTCAACGCCTCGTGACCGTCGAAACCTAAACCCTTGCTTCAGAAACTTTGCATGAGCTTCTTGTGTCGCAGCCTACCACAGGATACTACGAGCTCTTCGTTTACAAGTTCAAGGGTGAGCCCGGGGCATATGGATGGAAGGCAGGACTTTGGATGTCGGGTCCGGGTGGCTCTGGTCAGCAATTTGGGGTCTAGAGTCTAGTGATTCTAGTTGCGTCTGGCGTATTTTTTGAAGGCTGCCGGTCAATTCGTGTATGTCCGGTCTGTCAAGTCTGTTGATTGTTTCGGCTTCTGGGGAAGCCAAACATGAACGGCCCGCATTGTTAAATTCAAAAGTCTGCTGGCAACCTCGCTTGAGTCTACTGGCTTATCGCAGGGATTTTTGGAAAAGTAGACATGCTTGCTGCTTGTCTGATTTAGTCATCGGGCTCCGGTCGCCTGCGCAAAATGCATGATATAGTTGCCACAATTTCAGGCCCCAACGTGCCGTATCAGATAAGCCTCGACTTTTCTTCGCGCAGGTTGATGCATTCGTGATTGCTGCATGGAATGCTTACTTCATCGCTAGCATTCACCTATGTTCGTGCTGCTGATGCTCGGAGTTTATGTTTGTGGTGTTGCCAGTACAGCATTGCATTCTTTTCATATATTGCATGCCCAGTTTATCAGCAGCATTGTGTTCGAAGTGACGTTGCAGGTTTACCAGAAGCTCGTACCGTAAAGTTGTGCCACCTGGCAGAACGTTGACACCAAAATCGACCAGACTTACGCGACCTGAAGCATCGAATCCTGAACCCCCAGTCCATATATGGGTAAGCACCTCAAACACGAGACCCACGATCAATGTGCGAGTGATGATCAGCGCGAACAAGAACAGACAAATTGCAAACGTTGGCATAGTAAACTGACAGACTGACAGAGTAGAAGGTAGAAGAACTCGCATTCCGTCAGGCCATCACTTCTCCCGATCCTGAGGGCCGGAAGAAAAAGCTCAATGCGGAGCTCGCCAATGGCCGATTGGCCACTGGGCCAGACATTTTAGGAGGCGGTCGCGGTCGCGGTCGTGTTCGTGGCAGCGGCAGCAGCAGCAGCAGCAGCAGCAGCAGCAGCAGCAGTAGCAGCAGCAGCACCGGGACCAGGACCGGGACAGGGACCGGGACCAAGACCGGGACCGGGACCGGGACCGGGACCGGGACCGGGACCGGGTAGCGGTAGCAGAAGCAGAAGCATACGTCGTCGTCGTCGTCGTTGTAGTGCACAGGATTTCATGGTACTGTCGGTTCGTACCAAAGACGTGAAGGCTCTTTACAGCAGCACTCGAAAACAGTAGACGCTTCGTAGCAATGGCTTCCCAGAGTCGTAGCTTGACAGTGCTCGTGGCCGCAGTGTGCTGCGTGGCCGTTCTTCGCAGCTTCTGGGCACCGAGCCAGCCGACCTTCGTGGCTCCTCAGCAGAGCGTCCACGTGGGTTGCCAGGCATTGTCGGGTGGTGCTCTGGCCTCCGGCAACGTGCCTGCCATCGTCAACACAGTGCCAGCTCGCCCTGGTGTGCCCGCCCACTTCAAGGTGACGCTCGAGACTCCCGATGGCACTCAATCTTTCGCACCTTGTTTGCAGCTGTTTGCAACTGAAAGATTCGTGCTTTTGGGATCTAGTGGTATTATTGTGCCCTGGGTACGACGCATCGAATCTGTGACCAGGTCGCAAAAAGCAGCCAAGGAATGCCCTGAGGATGTGTACATTCTGGATCAGGCTGAGGAGGAGGGTTTGGAGCTGCCGTACTCCTGCCGAGCGGGCTCTTGCTCCAGCTGCGCCGGCAAGGTGCTGGAGGGCGAGATTGACCAGAGCGATCAGGCCTTCTTGGACGATGACCAGATGGGCGAGGGCTTCTGCTTGACGTGTTCTTCAGATTAACTTAGGTTGTGGTAGAGTAGAATCCGAAGAACGAGCAGCACGATCCGCCAAATGGTCCGAAAGCAGCCCAGGTGTGACGTACGCCACCTCGGACGTCACCATCAAGACCCACTGCGAGGACGAGTTGTGAGCTGGCGTGTGTTGTGTTGCTAGACTTCCGCCTTTTTCTTTAGTTGCTCTACTTAGTATGTGGTTGGTCTCACCGAATTTCGACGCTAGCCTTTAGCCAAGCGCTGGCAAGTACCAAACACACCCTCCAGTGGAGAAACAGCGTCCGCTGCTGAAGAGATGCTGCGGAGACGTGTGTATTTTCTCGGTGGAAGAGCCGCGCACACGAGTCGAACGAAGAAAGTCAGCGGCCAGCGCTCAAGCCACGGTGCCTCTTTGCACCATAGAAACACTCGAAAACAGTAGACGCTTCGTANNGCGATGATGGCCATCATCGGCATGTTTTTCCAGGCATCACAGATGTTACAGCCAACCTTGATGACTTGCAAGGTATATATGTTCGGATTGGGCAGGGTCGGTCATCATCATCATCATCATCATC